TGACAAACTTTACTTTACGCGTGACATTTAAAAGCTGATCAGATCTCCCCTGCAGGACAGGGGAAATGGAGATATTTATTATATTTATTATATTTATTGGGGTCTCGGCGGAGCCGGCAGATTTACTCCGACAGCGCCGGGACCCGCGGCGGCGCCGGGGGCAGCCACGGCGAATTTTGGGCGAATTTTGGGAGAATTTTGGGGGAATTTTGGGGGAATTTTGGGGGAATTTTGGGGGAATTTTGGGGGAATTTTGGGCGAATTTTGGGCGAATTTTGGGCGAATTTTGGGCCGGCTTTGGTCCGCCTGAGAGGGGACAAAATCCTGCCGGGTCCCACCAGGATTTCCCAGCTCCCTGAGGGGGTTTTGGGGTTGGGAATGGGAATTTTGGGGGGTTTGGTGTTGGGAATGGGAATTTTGGGGGTTTGGGAATGGGAATTTTGGAGGTTGGGAATTTTGGGGTTGGGAATGGGAATTTTGGGGGTTTGGGAATGGGAATTTTGGGAGGTTTTGGGGTTGGGAATGGGAATTTTGGGAGGTTTTGGGGTTGGGAATGGGAATTTTGGGGGTTTTTTGGGTCACCCTGCAGCCCCGGGGACGCTCAGGTGCCACCCCCGGCCCCGCCTTGGCGACACTGTCGGGACAATTGCTCCACCCTCAGGGCCGGCCCAGGAGCGCAGGGACCTCCCCGGGATCCCCAAACCCCCAAAAATCCCAAAAAATCCCCAAAGATCCCCAGAACCCCAAAGATCGCGGCTCGGCTCCCAGCAAAGGGGCGCGATGGGGACAAAAAGACGAAATTTGGGGTCCCCCCCTCCGGGGCGCTGCTGGGGCACCCAAATCCTGNTTGTGTGTGTGTTAGCTCGGAAAGAAAAATAAAAAGAACAACCTCGTAAAATGCAATAATAAAATAAAAAATCAAAGTCGGGGCGAGCCGAAGCAGCCGGTAATGAGCGCGGCGGAGAGGCCCCATAAACCGGGAAAAACCGGGGGCAGAAATCCCCTCCCCAAAAACCAAAAAAAAACCAAAAACCCTTTTTGTTGCCTCAAAACCGCCGGGGGGAAATTCTGCCTCCCCCGGCAGGTGCAGCCACCCCCAAAACCCCGTTTATTTATTACCCCAAAATCCCATTTATTCCCCCCAAAATTCCCCCCAAAACCCCGTTTATTTATTACCCCAAAATTCCGTTTATTCCCCCCAAAATTCCCCCCAAAACCCCGTTTATTTATTACCCCAAAATTCCGTTTATTCCCCCCAAAACCCCGTTTATTTCTCCCCCCAAACCAGCCCCAAGAAATCCCAGAGAATTCCAAGGAATCCAAAACCGAACCGAGCCCAACCCGAACCGGCCCCGCCCCTCCGGCCCCGGGGGGTTCGGGGTCGGTACCGGGGTTCGGGGTCTGTCCCGGTCCCGGTCCCGGTTCGGCCCGGGCCGGTTCAGGGTCGGTCCCGGGGTTTTGGGGTTCGGGGTCTGTCCCGGTCCCGGTTCGGGGTCGGTCCCGGGGTTTTGGGGTTCGGGGTCTGTCCCGGTCCCGGTCCCGGTCCCGGTTCGGCCCGGGCCGGTTCCGGGGCTGCAATGCGCGGAGCCGGCGCTAGGGGGGGAGATGAGCCCGGTTTAGAGCGCGGAGAGCCCGGATTAAAACCCGGAACGGCGCCCAAAAATCCCCAAAAATTCAAAAAATCCCAAAAATC